TTATCACCACATTCACAAAACAATAGTTGGGTAATTCCTGTTTATAGCTGTATGCACTCCCCTCAGTGTGTGAGCGCTGTTTTCTCCATCAAGCTTTCAGGAAAGCCGTCAACATGCAGCGTTTACAAGCTCTGCATGAAGTTTGAGTGTGTGCAACCATTTTCCTCCCACTTCAAATGAATTCTGACAACACACACAAAAACAGTGGAAGGTTTATTTAATGGAAATAAATAACCGCAAAACATTATGTGACATTAATGAACGAAATAAAAACATTTGACCTAAAAAAAAAAAAAAAAAAAGTGAATCAGACTTTATGAGAAAAAGTGAAGAAGCTAATATGATGTCTGCACTGGCAGCTTGCATCACATCAGATCAAATAATATTTAGCCGCCCTGTAAAAGAGTTTAATAATGTAATAAAGTACCTTATGGTTGTTATCTGATGTGAGACATGAGACCAGAGTATCGGGCTGCTTTCTTCCACCTGCTCCAGGTAATTGATTGGAGCATATTAAATGATGGAGTTTCTTTAATTAGCTAACGAACATTTGTCCTCGGAGCTTGCCAAGTGGCGCCAACTTCCCCAGCGTCTCATTATAAGCCACGGCTGAACTGCACCATCAGCATCGACTTCATATCTCCTCAAACATCACAGCGACTCACAAATCAGTTTGATGTAAACTTTTTATTTTAACTCAGCAGCATGCCATTTATCTTGGAGCGGTTGGGAAAATGCCTCACGTTTGACAGCCAAGACCGTACACTCTGCTGAGTGCTTTTGTTTGGTGTGCATGCACAAACTCTCACACACTCAGACCGGCCCAACGAGCACACACTGTCCTCTCCAGCACACAAACACACTCAGAATCTATAAAAATATGCTTAGCTTGGGACTGCTCTGTTGATAATGACCTCAGCCTTGGCACCGTACAGGGCCAGACCAGACTGCCGACAGACTGGGGGCTTTTGTGTTCACTCTCTATCTCTAACTCCATGACCTTTAAGGGGAAGAAGAAAGCAGAATCGCCTTTTTTTTTTAAATTTAGAACGGGTATGGCTCGCTCATTGTTCTGTATTGGTACAGTTTCCCGGTGGTAAACACTGCTGTTCCCAGGCTTAGCATGTTACTGCAACCCCCCCCCCCCCCCCCCCACCACCACCACCACCACTGCTGTCCATCCAACCCTCGGTGTTCCCACACTGCACTGTCTGGATCATAGCATTGGTACCGCCTTCTCAATACTCTATCATACAAACACTATGAATGATCTAATTCTTCACCAACACAATGGTCTGTGATGCAGTAAAGTAAAGACAGCAGTGGAATAAAACAAGAAAAAAAAATGCCCTGGTGGATACGACTCTGAGACGTTCTTTAGCTGCTCAAGACGGAGGCCATTCTTCAAGTGGGTGACAACAGTGCCCAAACAAACCACTAACCTCATCAGGCCTCTGTTTACAGCCTAGAGCCTGAGTCCTGGACGACTCATTAACATCAGAGGCCTTCCAAGTGACTCGACTTCTCACATCGTTGATGGATGAACCTGAATCATTCTTCAACTGACCGTCACCATCCCTACTTCAACACACACTTAGTTCTAAAAGAAACAAATTTAACACCCCCCCCAAAACACCACATACTGTATATGTGTGAGCAAAAATACTGTGTATTATTTCAGATGTAGTTCATAATTGTTGTATTTGCTATATTAATGGTCTATAAATCTTAAAGCTGCCTGGTTTGTCTGATGCTGTTAAATTGAAGATTTGTGAATACGTGACAAAAAATATGTTATATTTGTATCAAGACAAATGTACAGAAACATTTAAATCCCTTTTAAAGAGCAGTAGTATTCCTTGTATGCCAAAGATGTGCATCACGATCTTGCATGATCTGTTAGTGCACAGAGTGACGACAACCACTTAACCCACATTTGTCAAATTCAAGGCCCGGGGGCCAAACGTGGCCCTCGTTGACATCTTATCTGGCCCCCAAGATGTTATTTTAAATGTAAAATACTGTAATCACTTTATGTTTTTTCAGTAATCTTTGATTATGATGTCAAAAGTGCAACAGAGAATGTCAAATGAGACCAATCATCTTTTTTGAAGAACCTGTGACCAAGAAAACATGTTGGGTATCAAAATTGTGATAATTTAGATTCTGAAACTGGCCCTTAGTTTGAAAAAGGTTTTAACTTTGGCCCCCTTTTGTAAGTGGGTTTGACACCCCTGACTTAACCAAATCTAATTTTAACTAAATATCTGTACTATGGACTGAACTATAGCCATTTTGGCGGGCTAAGTTTGGTTAGCCCTGGCAGCCATCTTGAAGTGCATTGACTCCAAAAGTTATTCAGTTCTTGACTGACGGTGAATTTCTGTGAGTTTCATTAAAATACTTTCAGTGGTTTTTGAGATATGTTGCTAAAACATCTTGCAGGGGAAGATTTTCAGCTATAACCAAGTCAACTTCTCGATCAATATTTGTAAGACTGACAACTGTGGCAGCCATCTTCATTTTACAAGATCCACAGTTGTGCATCCGGTGAGTATTTTTTCCAGTGATTTATGAGATATTCTGCTAACAGACACCCCCCCCCCCCCAATTGCAGGTAATTACATGATTGCCACGTTAGGTCTCGATTTTAAATGTTCAAGTTCAAATCAACAGATACCAGAAGCAGCATCCTTCCTCCTGCAGATTCTTGACCACATCACACTGAACACTTTTGAATCAAGGCGTGTTTGCACCAAAGAGAGTGTGCAGGGAAGAAAGGGAGAAAAAGTGTGTGCGTTGGGGGGTTCCGGGACAACCAGGGCCGTTTAATGGGGCTCTCCATTTCACTGCCCTCAGACCCTCCACTCCCTCTCACCTCTCCAATGGGTCAATCTATTAACCATTTTAATGAGCTCCGCCAGACAAACGCGAGATGCAGCATGGTCCATTGAACAATGTGGAGAAGGACGATGCGCTGCTCAGCTCCGGAGATACAGGTGCACCCCCCCCCCCCCCCCCACACACACACACACACACACATACATACACACAACTTTCCAAATCACCAATCACATGCTTGTCACAGCAGGTATTGAAAACAGGACATATTTCTGAAGAGAACCTGATAAGTGATGCTGTGAAAGCCTGAAACAGCGTGAACTTGAATGCAGCACGGCCACTTGTTGGTATCACATCAACTGGATTGGCTAAGATTTGTTTTAAAGCATCCAAATACAATTGTATTTTTTTTTATTAAGGAGCATTACAGCAGACCTTTAATTAGGCACACCCCAAGTTAGTCCACCCCCCCCCCCCCCAGCTCTCTGCGGCCCACGTCTCGCCACCGGGTGCGGCCTGCGCGCTTTGGCAACACGTATTTGAACGTTTTTGTGGCGCACCGCGTTCCATCTGGACGCGCGGACTAATCAGTCAGCCTCCATCTATCACGCTTTACCACCTCTCCATCACCTTCTCTATTACACCCCCCAAGCCCCCTCTTTTTCTTCTTCTTTTTTTTCATCACACGAGTGTTCTGTAAGAAGGGAGGCACACACTGAACACATTTACCAGCAGAGCCCTTATATGAGGGGTCTGGGAATTTAAATATTCACTGCTGACACTTTGCAGACCTGGCTGAGGGCCAGGGTGGGCCCGCTGCTTCGGGGGCCCAAAACTTTCCCCACCTCAGCTGCCGCCAGCCTTCATTCATATATATATATATATATATATATATATATGTGTTTCTACCCTTCTTTGTGTTCTCCCTGGGTGGGTATAAAAAATACAATAAAATATATTTTCATTCAAGAGGTCTGAGGGATTTATTCAGTTAATGTTGATATAATGTCATCTTTCAGGTGACCAGCCTCTCAATATTTAACAAGTTATTATTTAAATAAAATGATATCTGAGTGGAATAATTAAAATATAAGTGTATTTCTGCAGAGGGAACATCATTGTTTCAAAGAGCAGTTGCAGTCCCATAATTCTTCTGCAGAGGAAATTATAACATTTGATTTATGTAGAGGCCCTAATGTATTTTCTTTCTGCTAACTGAAAATGCAGATTGTTTTAGAATAAAATAAAAAAAGATGATAAATATTTGATGACATGAACTGAAATCTTAGTCTCGTGCCCTCCTGTAAAGCCATAAAATATTAACAGGCCTGGGTCATCGCATTAACTGGATTATTGCACAAATTTATTCGTTTTAAATAATTAATTTAGATCATTTTACAGTTTGTTTTAGGAATTTAAAGTGATCATTCAAAGCCAGTGATGGCACGGACATAAAATAAAATAAAATAAATAAAATAAGCTAATTTTTAAAATGCACATCTTCATAATTTATTGATACAAATCAATGCATATCAATCACGTCTATGCAGGTTGTGTTAAAGTAATTGAATCGATTTCAATGAGAAAAGTGCAACTTTATGATTCAAACTCTTTAACAGCTATATATATATATATATATATATATATATATATATAAGGTTTTGTTTCTAAGAAGACTTTTCACCAACAGCTCTCAAAATGAACTCACATTTGTTTAAACATTACATCCAATAAAAGCTGCTGTGAAACGTTCACGGACCATGTTGCGCTCTCCTCCTCCTGCAGCTCAAAGTTTCCTCGGATGAGCTGCGGGGGTGAAGCAGCCGCGGCGCGCGGACACGAGCCAGACGCGCCGGACGTGGGATTTGAACCTGCAACACAGCGCCCACTACATGCAACGAGCTTTTTGTCCCCCCACAGACCCGCGCGGACCTCTTGGCTCAAAGTTCCTGCGTCGCTCCGGCAACTTTTTGCGCACATCCCGCGGACGCGCTGGACTCTTATTCTCCGCGACAACGTCTCGGCTTCACGAACTGGAAGTAATAAAGTTTGGACTCTGCTTGTTCACGCGCACACAAACTATGAATTGACGCGACAGCGGCAGCTTTGATGTTAGAAGATGCTTGAAAATAAAAACAAGAAAGGGATGTTGCACCTACTCGTGGCCAGTTTCCGCGCCCTGCCTTTGGACCTCATGCTGCCAGTCTCTCCGTGTTGCTTTGTCTTGTCAATCTTTTTTCTATTTCCTTCTCCCCCTTTTTTTTTTTTTTTTTTTTTAACTTTCTGTCTCTTTTTCTCTGGGTTTTCTCAATCCCAAACAGCGCTATCTCTCCAGCATTGTCAGTGTGGGGACACCTTTGCACATGCGCACAGCGGCCGAAATCTGCCGGCAGCAAGTGCCAGGAGAAAAAGAAGAGAGGCAAAGAAAAAAAGAACGGGGGGGGGGGGGGGGGGGGGGG